ACCATGCCCAGCTAATTCTGTAGTTTTAGTAGAGACGGGGTTTCTCCATGTTGGTCAGGCGGGTCTCAAACTCCTGACCTCAGGTGATCCGCCCACCTCAGCCTCCCAGAATGCTGGGATTACAGGCCTGAGCCACCAAGGGACCTCATGATCCCAGTTCTTAACTCTTTCTGTTGACATAAGCTGTGTTCATAATTGGAATGAACAATGGCGTCGCCCGGACAATCAGCCAGGCCTTTGTGTATCCATCCGAGTGTAGGCATGTGGGTAACTCCTGGAGAACTCTTCCGTCCAGAATTCAAAACATGTGGAAGGGGTTGGGGCAGTTCTTGCTGCATTTCAAACTCACTCCTCCACCACAACAAAGCAGGGATTGTCTGGGCAGCTTTTGGGTGATTTGCTGAGAGCTGGGCAGGCTGTGGGCCCAGCCCCTCCTGCAGAGGGTTCCATGCAGGCATCAGTATTTCTCAGCGGATCAGATTCCTCTAAATTCATGACCACCTTGTGTTCAGGCCACAGCCCTGTGGATGGGCTCTGAAACCACCTTTGCATGCTTATGAAAGATGGACCAGAACAGAAAAGTTGGAACCCAGGAGGTAGAGGTTACAGTTAGCTGAGATTGTGCCACTGCACCTCAGCCTGAGTGACAGAGCGAGACCCTGTCTCAAAGAAAAAACTCCAAAGCACACATGCACACACACAAAATGAAACCACCTTTGCAAAAATTCTACAAGTGAGATGTAATTTAACCACCCCCATCTTGCCTTTAGCCTTCAAACTGCCCTTAGTCATGGTTGGGCCTGGGCCAAGCTAAACTGGAAGTTTATAGTTTAAATGATAGTCACCTGGCCAGGCACGTTGGCTCACGCCTATAATCTCAAAACTTTGGGAGGCTGAGGCGGGCGAATCACGAGGTCAGGAGTTTGATTTGAGCCTGACCGACATGGTGAAATCCTGTCTGTACTAAAACACACAAAAAATTAGCGGGGTGTGGTGTTGCATGCCTATAATCCCAGCTAGTCAGGAGGCTGAGGCAGGAGACTCTTGAACCTGGGAGGCAGAGGTTGCAGTGAGCGGAGATCTCGCCACTACACTCCAGCCTGGGCAACAGAGTGAGACTTGGTCTCAAAAAAAAAAAATCCAAAAAACAAACGAACTGATCATAGCCTTTCTTCAAAACTCAACAGCCTTCATAAAGCTAATGAGAGACCAGCAGGCTGGATGAAAGCAGCCCACATTCTGCCAAGGTGTAGCCCTCGACACCGTTCCAGAGTGCTGGCACAAGGTTTGCAGCTCCTCCAGTTACTCCGTCAGGTAACGTCACAATTGTAGAACCCAAGACTGGCCTTTTGAGATGTATTTTTGGGTTTTTGCGTTTCTTTTCCTTTTTTTTTTTTTTTGGAGACAGGGTTTCACTCTGTCACTCAGGCTGGAGGGTTATGGTGCGATCTCCACTCACTGCAGCCTCTGCCTCCTGGATTCAAGCAATTCTCCTGCCTCAGCCACCCAAGTAGCTGAGATTACAGGTGTGCCCCACCACGCCCAGCTAAGTTTTGTATTTTTAGTAGAGATGGGGTTTCACCATGTTGGCCAGGCTGGTCTCCAGCTCCTGACTTCAGGTGATCTGCCTGCCTCATCCTCCCGAAGTGCTGGGATCACAGGTGCGAGCCATCATACCAGCCCAGGTTTTTGCATTTCTGACACTCAAGAGGGTTCACCTGGACCGAATGACCTACCTGCCCCCCCTACCCCTAGAGCACCCCATGGACAGTTCTGCGGCCCCACCCAGAAGCAAATCCCCTGGCCGGCCAAACTATCCTTGAAAAAGTCTGGCCTCCGAATTTTTGGGGAGATTGATGTAAGAATTAAGCTCCAGCCTCCTGTTCCGCCGGCTCTGCATGAATTAAGCTCTGTCTCTATTGCAATTTTCCTGTCTTGAGAAATCGGCTCTATCTGGGTCCTGAGCAAGAATGAACTCATGGGGCAGCAGCAGCGGTGAGGGTCAGACAGTGAAAACCATGGGGGCCCCGTCCTCCCACCCGACCACCTGCGGCTGCTCCTGCCACGTCACCAGGCGGTGCAGCTGCTGAGGCCCTTTGCAGCACTTTGCAAGGCGCTGGCACGTCTGGTCCTGCCCAGAGCTTGGCACTACTGAAAAGAGCAGACACCGCAAAACAGTTTCTAGGAGAGTGGCCAGGAGCTGTTCATAGTTGGGGAACAACGCCTCATTGTTTGGGATCTCATTTAAATGTTGCCAAATCTATTTCATGTCTCTCCTTCGGAAACTCTGATTCGGAAGGAAATTTGATTCATCTGATTTGCTTCTGTGACTGAATAATTATTTGATTATTTGGCCAAATTTGGTTAAATGATAAGTTTTTCAACTGATTTTCAATATTAAAACCTGAGAGATTTTTCTACTGAATTATCCAACAGTACTCCTTCCTAACCCCATGGCTCCCCCTCTCCTGTAGTTTTTCCTCCAAGGAGGGTAAAAAATCTCGCACATTCAAAGCCTGTTCTGAAATTTCCCTTGCTTAGCTCTGCTCAAAACAAACATAAACCTGGCTTTCAAGTACTTCCAAGTCACCTATAAAAAAAGAAATGGTTTATATAGGCTGTTAGGAGTTATTAATATTTAATTCATTGAGGGGAAAATGCTGGCCTTTGTGATTAGATTGGTAAAACTTTATTTTACTTTATGTAATTTTCAAATATCCTTTTTTTTGGGGGGGGGATGGGGCCTCACTCTGTCACCCAGGCTGCAGTACAGTATCGTAGTCACAGCTTACTGCAGCCTCAAACTTCTGAGTTCAAGGCGTCCTCCCATCTCAGCCTCCCACGTAGCTGGGACTGCAGGTATGTGCCACCACACCAGTTAATGTCTTTATTTTTTGTAGAGACAGGGTCTTGTTGTGCTGCACAGGGTGGTCTTGAACTCCTGGCCTCAAGTGATCCTCTTACCTTGTCCTACCAGTGAGGCCAAATATCCATTTTTAATCATAATCGGTACTTTTGTTTAAGACTCCACTGTTATATTGGAGGAAGGAAAAAAAGCAAACCTTTGTAACATTTCATATATGACAAATCCCAACAGATAAAAAAGGATTCGCCAGGTCCCAGGGCTTCAGGAAACAAGAGTGGGCTCATGGGGTGAGGAGAGTGTGCCCAGCACTAAGCAAAGTGGAGTCTTAAACCTGTTTCTTGCTTGGGGACTGTTTATGCTTCAACACAGTACCTGAAATATTGGACATTCCAATACGCAAGAGGCAGAACTGCGAATTCCACAATCCATTCTGACATGTGGATAAACTTTTATTGATACGCCAAAGGGAAAACCAATATTCACTGAAGGCTGCCGAATCCATATTTCTCAGAGTAAAGATGTTTAATGGACTCTCCACCTTTAAAGCGCTTTGTATGAAATATAGCTAGGAACACACATAAACAATTCAGATTACAAAACTCTCCAGGAAAGTAATAATCATCATGTAATACTGGAACTACAGTTAAAAAAAAAAAAAAAGCAGCCTTCCAGGAGTCCTAACTGTAGTTTACCTGAGAATTCAGATCATCGTAGCAACCTTCTGTATCAGGTTGTAATGGGCAGTTGTAAGCAAACAGCATCAATCTGCATAGCGTTTGGAAATTCGTCTGAAGCTGTTCGGAGCTGCACAACAGTGGAAGCTATTCTTCCAGTTCTCCCAGCAGCTCTGCAAAATCAGTGATATACCATTTGGCGTTATCCTTGACGTGCTGCCTGATCACATTTCCTCCAAACCCAATGAAGGCATCCTAAGGAAGAAGAAAAAAGAGAGAAACGATTTTCGTGTTTATTTATTTGTTTGTTTGTTTGAGTCTTGCTCTGTCGACCAGGCTGGAGTGCAGTGGCATGATCTCTGCTCTCTGAAACCACCACCTTCTGGGTTCAAGTGATTCTCCTGCCTCAGCCGCCCAAGTAGCTGAGATGACAGGTGCCCGCCACCATGCCTGGCCAATTTTTGTGTTTTTAGTAGAGACAGAGTTTCAACATGTTGGCCAGGCTGGTATTGGACTCCTGACCAGGTGATTTGGCCACTTTGGCCTCCCAAAGTGCTGGGATTACAGGGGTGAGCCACGGTTCTGGGCAGAGAAATGATTTTTAGAAAACCAGAAAACCAAGGTTGCAAGCAGCAATCGAGAGCAGTAAGTGTTTCAAATATAAACTGTTCCTGCAAAGAGAGGTAAGCCTGGCTCCCCCATGGTGCCTCCACTGAGCGCCCAGCACCTTTCTCCTCCCCTCCTCCGTCTTTGGCTCCTGGCTGCCTCTTTCCTTCACTGCACTATCCTGATCAGTACATGCACCACTGCAGGGGACCCATTCAGCTGGACAATGTCAAGGCTTTGGGAGAATAAGATGTGGTCCCTGCCCTCTTACAACCAAGACAAATGCCTGCAAAAATAAAAATCGGCCAGGCGCAGTGGCTCACGCCTGTAATCCCAGCACTTTGGGTGGCTGAGGCAGGCAAATCATGCGGTCAGGAGTTCGAGACCAGCCTGGCCAACATAGTGAAACACCATCTCTACTAAAAATACAAAAATTAGCCAGGCGTCATGGCGCACACTTGTAGTCCCAGCTACTCGGGAGGCTGAGGGAGAAGAATCACTTGAACCCGGGAGGTAGAGGTTGCAGTGAGCTGAGATCGCGCCACTACACTCCAGTCTGGGAGACAGAGTGAAAGTCTTCCTCAAAAAATAATAATAAAAATTAAAAAATAAAAATCATATAGGTAGGTAAATGTTTGAGCTCTAAACTAGATAGAAGGAGCCAGGCGCAGTGGCTCATGCCTGTATTCCCAGGACTTTGGGAGGCTGAAGTGGGAGGATCGTCTGAGGTCAGGACTTCCAGACCAGCCCGGCCAACATGATGAAACCCCGTGTCTACTAAAAATACAAAAAATAGCCGGGTGTGGTGGCAGCTGCCTGTAATCCCAGCTACTCAGGTGGCTGAGGCAGGACAATCGCTTGAACCTGGGAGGTGGAGTTCACAGTGAACGGAGATCGCGTCACTGCACTCCAGCCTGGGTGACAGAATGAGATCCTGTCTGAAAAAAATAAAATAATAAATAAATAAATAAACTAGATGGCAGGCCAGGCACAGAGGTTCATGCCTGCAATCCCAGTACTTTGGGAGGCCGAGGTGGGTGGATCACCTGTGCTCAGGAGTTCGCCTGTAGTCTCACCTACTTGGGAGGCTGAGGCAGAATTGCTTGAACCTGGGAGGTGGAGGTTGTAGTGAGCCGAGATCATGCCACTGCATTCTAGCCTGGTGACAGAGTGAGACTCCACCACACCCAGCTAATTTTTGTACTTTTAGTAGAGACGCCTTGGCCTCTCAAAGTGCTGGGATTGTAGGCATGAGCTGAGATCACACCACTGCACTCCAGCCTGGGCAACAGAGCAAGACCCTATCTCTAGAAAAAGTGAGAGCACTGCAGACAGTTCTCCCTCACCGCAAAAAAAAAGAAAAAGGGGGGAAAAAACCCAGACAAATAAAAATTGGTTATCGTTATTATTATTTCATTAGTTGTACTAACTGATACCCTCTTTTTGTGAACGATATTTCAAAATAGTATTTTATTTTTTTCTGCCAGGATTAGACACAAACTGCACATACTCATTTGAAAGTACAGGCCGGGCGTGGTGGCTCACGCCTGTAATCCCAGCACTTTGGGAGGCCGAGGTGGGCGGATCACGATGTCAAGAGATGGAGACCATCCTGGCCAACATGGTGAAACCCCGTCTCTACTAAAAATACAAAAATTAGCTGGGCATGGTGGCGCATACCTGTAGTCCCAGCTACTCAGGAGTGTGAGGCAGGAGAATTGCTTGAACCTGGGAGGTGGAGGTTGCAGTGAGCCGAGATTGCACCACTGCACTCCAGCCTGGCGCCTGGCGACAGACGGAGACTCCATCTCAAAAAGA